TGCTTGTGTTCCCTCTCTCCCTGTGTCTCTCTCTGTCAAATAAATAAATAAAATCTTAAAATATATATATATATATATATACAGGACAGAAGACGACAAAAGCATACTTCTAATACATTCCATAGGATGAAAAGACAAATTATAAAATCATACAGAATCTGCATCAGAGTGAATGTATGTAATTGATTTCGGAAAGAGATAGTTTGTTTAAGCCCGGCGATGGGTATTAAGGAGGGCACGTACTGCATGGAGCACTGGATGTTATACGAAAACAATGAATTGTGGATCACTACATCAAAAACTAATGATGTAATATATGGTGATTAACATAACATAATAAAATAAAATTTTAAAAATGTGTACAAGTTTTTGATAATTTTTTATTAAAGTAAAACAATTTTTAGGAATCCTATGAAGTTTGCAGCTTAATTAATTTTTGCAATATAATCACAAGTATGTAACCATGATCCAATTTTCCAATATTTTGTAAATAAAACTATACCACCACCACCAAAAAAAAAATAATATATGGCTTCTACAGCTATATAGATGCAGCAATGACCATAAGTTCAAACATTCACTGAGTACCTAGTATTTAGGCATTGATATTTGCATGCATTATCTCACACAATCCTGTAGAAAGCACATAAGATGAATACTGTTGTCATCTTGCTCTTATCCAGGAGAAAAGTCAGGCAGAGAGACTTTGCTAACTTCATGGCTAGTAAGTGGGAGAGGATATAGATCCAGGCGGTCTGGCTCCAGACATGCTCCCTTAACCACTATACATTATTCATTCAATTACATGATGAATATAAGGTAAACTTGAACATGAGGTAATTTGTCATGTGCCCAATGAGAAGTTTACAAAAAATATTTTTTATTAATTTGAATATATACACATTTGGGAATGTAGATACAATTATCAACTAACTGCAATTTTAGTATGTATATATACACATATACATATATATATATAAAATCACATTAGGTAAATTAGCATATTTATTAGAAATATTGGCCTTTTTATATTCATGTTATGTAACACAACAGTACAGTCTAGTGGTTTAGCACAAGGACTCTGAAGCCAGACTGGGTTCAAATCTCAGGTCTAGCAGTTCCTACCCTATGATGTTTGACAAGTTATTTAACCTCTCTGTTCTCAGTTTCATCATATGTCTAGTATATAGTACCTACCTTGTCAGGCTGTTAGGAAAAGTAATTGAGTAGAAAGGCGTGAAGGGCTTAGAGCAGCGTCAGGTACATAGTAACTATATACTGGTATTAGCTCATACCTTTTTTTTCCCCCCAAATGCTTCACTGCACCATTGGCAGGAGGGGTTCTGCCATCACCAGAGCCCAGCCTTCTGATGCTATGTTTTACAGTATTTCCCCTTCTAAGTTTGAGACACAGAACTTCCACTACTGTCACTGAAATTCTTATCCCAAACCACAATATCCATTCACCTAATATTAGAAATGTTTGATTTGCTATTTAAGAGGTTGTCTGAGCTCTACAATAAAAATACAGCATTGCTTTAAAAATTATCTTTAAAAGCCTTTTTTTTTTTTTTTACAGCACGAGGCACTTGGAATATTCAAGTCAAAATCCCAAGAATAAATGTTAAGCTAGGGTTAAATTTCTTTGCCTTTTAAAAACCCAATTTGTCTAAAAGCATCCGGTGTTGTTCCAGGCAAATCTGACTTCCCAAGACAGTAATTTATTGTTCCAAGTAAAATAATTGAAATAACAGAAGCAGAATTTGAGGAGGAAACTCTTTCCTAAGGGATAAAGGATAATTTGGAGGAGATATAATTTGGGAAATGGAGTTATATCTTTAATATTCAGGGATAGTGAAAACAGATCTTGGGCATTTACGTTGGTTTTTACCATAATCATCAGGTTTCATTGTGGAACTTGACATGATAAGTACACAGCTGCCAAATCCTCACCTTATTTGGTGCTTGTGGATATAACTGAAAGTAGGGGAAACTACCCATGTTCAAGCCAGAATTTTCCGGCCAAATTCCCCATGACATATTTACTATAAAACAGAGGGGAAAGAAAGCAACTCTAAAATCTAAGCACAATTTTGGGGTGCCTGGGTGGCTCAGTCTTTAGGCATCTGCCTTCAGCTCAGGTCATGATCCCAGTGTCCTGGGATCGAGCCCCGCATCGGGCTCCCTGCTCCTTGTCGGAAAGCCTGCTTCTCCCTCTCCCACTCTCCCTGCTTGTGTTCCCTCTCTTGCTGTCTCTCTCTGTCAAATAAATAAATAAAAATCTTTAAAATCTAAGCACAATTTCACTGCTGCCCCCAAAAAATGAAGTTTTCTGCGTGTTTGTGAAGTATGTAAAAGTGTAGTGTGTATTCTAGCATGATTGTCAAACTAATTAGAAGATACCACTCATGATCAGAATTTTTTTTTTTTTTTTTGGTCACAAGTTTGGTAACTGACATACTAAGTCCCAGAGATGACTGGGCCACTGTTACAAGCCCACTTCATGTTCTATTAACTCTTGACCCGGTTAAGACTTCCTACTCTTAATGAATACAATTCAGTGACTTTAACAGAGGTCAGCACATTTACCAAGTACTGCAGTTTGCTTAAATATAACTCTCTGGAGACTATCCTGAGGTGGGGGGATGCAACACCAAAAGAAAAAAAATGTTTTTTCCCCAAAACGAGAGGTCTACCTGACTAGCCACAAAAGTGACTGTTATTCTCTAAGGGTTTTCTGCAGGATACCTTGGTTTATACTTCAAAGTCAAACAATGTGGAAGATTTAATCATGTAACTTAATTTTTTTGCTTGTCTTATTGAGTAAGGGACAGGTATGGCTAGGAGGGAGAGACAGGTAGGGGGGAGACTCGAATTTTCTTTCAACCATAAGATCACTAAGTAGATGAAGTAATAGATTATTGCATATTGTCGATAACCAGAAATTCAGCTTCATAGGTGATACAGCTTAGAGAGCATAACTATATAATTTATCAACCAAACTGGGATATTTTTGACAGCAAAAAAGGGAAAATATTAATAATTATGCTGGAAAAAAAACAGGCATAAAATGGGACAATGTGGCTGGCTCCAGCAAATCTGGCCACATGGTCATCTCCCAAGAGTTGTGCAGATGGTACCTACATCAATAAATTCTAAAATGATTTACAAAAGTTGGTAAATTGAATAATTTAATGAGCTTTTCCAGAAATTTTCCGATGAAATTAGCTACCCATTCATCTCAAGAGTATACTCCTTGGCTTTTCAGTTTGTTATGTCCTTTTCCTATTATTATTTTTGTTTGGAGGGGAGTGTGGAGTTTTTTTTGTTTGGTTATTTTACTTGTTTGTTTCATACAGAGTGTATGTTGAAAAAAACCTTTTAACCAGTGAAATATTATTATTCCTTTGGAAACCAGTCCCAGAGCAGTGGCCTGGTTTCTTTTGTAAAGACCATGGGTTTGGGGGGCCAGCATATAATGCAAGGGCTAAATTTTAATACTATAAGCTCTGAAGACAGTTCTGCTCAATGGTTAATACCATGGCATTTGGAGTTAGGATTCCTGCACTTTCAAAAAGTGATTTAACACTCTGTGATTTAACACAGCAGCCAGAGCAATCAAAAGGAAAGAATCTACTTATGACACTCTTCAGTTCATAACCTTCAGTGGTTCTCCTTTGTCTTTTAGAACCAAAACCAGAATCCCACAAGACACTCTATTCCTGGCCCTTGCCTGTAGCTCCAGCCTCAACTCCTACATGGCTGTCCTCCATCGCCTCTCTAACCATCCCCGCTGCATTTAAACCAGTGATTTCCAAACTGATTTTATCCAAGAGACATTTTTAAGTTGTCACAAGGTGGCAGTGGGGATGGGGGGTGTGCTACTGGCATCTAGCTGGTAGAGGTCAGGGATGTTGCTAAACATCCTACAGCACACAAGGCAACTTCATTCGTCCCCCTCCCCCCCCCGCCCGCAAGAATCATTTAGATCAAAATGTTAATAGTGCAAACACTGAAGAACCCTTATTTACACCTTTTCTGACACATGTTTTCCCTAATCCGAGGCCTTGCACACACTATTCTCACTGCCTGAAATATTGATGCTCTTCCCCTTCCCTCATTTCCCTTTTCTTTAAAAACTCCTTTTCACCCTTTTGATCATCACCCTTTCACAGTGGCTTTCCCAATTTTCCGTCCCAGATGAATATTACACCCTTTCAAAGAATTATGTAGCACTTAAGAATATTAGTAACAGTTTTACATATACTTATATGTGTTTGATAACCCCACCCCAACGAATCCCAGGTGAGCGGTACCATTTAGCTTGTATTCATCATAGTAGCCCCAACAGCTAGTACAGCGAGGTGAGTTGTCCTGCAACACTGCATTCAATGTTACTAAATGAACACTTAACAGCCTCACTTACAAAAGGAGAGTAATAGAGTCATCATCTCATTAGGTCGTAAGGACTAAATAATACACATAAACTCTATAACACTGTTTCTGGATCACAGTAATGCCAGAAAGACCGAGCTCTGTGGTTTGTGGACAGGAGAGAAGCTCTATCCACTCATTATCAGCCAGCCCATCCTCTCCCAGGACTCAGGTCTGCTAAAGACTTCTCCCCACTCCAAATAGTAACTAACAATTGCTGCGCCTGCGCTTTTCAGCCTCGATCGCTAACCAGGCTATCGGAAGTATTTTCCTTCTTCTCATTGGTCCACCACTGGTCTAACTTCTTCGGTACTGCGCATGTTCCACAGCAGGTTTCCTCCTCCCCGGCCCCGCCCCGTATCTGCCCTAGAGGGGCACATATCTGCCAACACGCCTGCGCGAGCGGGCGTGCTCCGGAAGCAGTTCTTTGGCCCTGTGACACGTAGCAACGGAGTGAGTTCAGGGTCTTAAGCGTTTTGGGGGGTTTTTGGGGGGCTGCTGGAGCTGCTAACGCCGCTACCGCCGCTTCCGCGTTTGGTGAGTGTCCCAGGCTTGTGGCACACTGTTCGGCTTCTCTTCAGTCTTGTGTGGCGCGGCTTGTTGCCTCCGTTCGGCGCCGCGTTCCGGTCATTTCGCTCAGACCCTCACTCCCTTTCAGGCGCTTGCTTTGACGCGGCCCCTGTACCTCCTTCGCGGCCTTCCAGGAGTCTGCCCTTTCCCGGAAGGTCCAGGCCTTATTTTGCAAAGAGACAGTCGCCTTGTCAGCAGCAGAGTCCGCCCTGAGGTGAGGAATCGTTTTTGTTGTTGATATTTTAGACCTCCGTGGAACCATTCTCCCACGCCCCTTCCCCTAACCAGGGCATATCAGCTCCGTGAAGTGCAGGTGTCTTCCCGGCTCTTAGAGACTAGACGTTTCCTGTGCAACTCCCACCTGGACCTATCCTTCAAATGCCGTTCCCCCAATTCCAGAAGAAATAATTTACTGCCTCCTGAGGCTTTTTGCTTTGTATCGAAATGAAATCAGTGGGACCTTGGGTATAAACACTATTTGCCATTTTTCTTCTCTTACAGAAAATTTGCAATGGCAGGGTTTGATAACTTAAACACGGATTTCTACCAGACAAGTTACAGCATCGATGACCAGTCACAGCAGTCCTATGATTATGGAGGAAGTGGAGGACCCTATAGCAAGTAAGTTGTCAACTTTGTTTAGTCCAGACTGAAGTGAAAGCCTGTATCCTCATTGTTTGGTTCTGCCTAAAACTGAACGTGTCACCGTGTGCCTTGTTAGGAATGTGATTTTTCATAATCTTCCTTCCTCTGGAAGGATCTGTGACACTGGTTTGGGTTTGAAGGGATTGCCCTATTTAGAGTTTGGTATCTTCTGCGAAATCTTCAGGTGTGCCGTGGCTGCAAAAGTAGATTGTTAAGAACTGTTTCCTAGTAATAGTATTTCTACGTCATTTAGGATGGCTGTTAGCTTCAAGTATCTAGAAGATACCTAGGCTGTTTCATTTAAAGAACCAGTTAAAAATTTAAAATCTTGTGACGGCTAGTTTAAGAAGTTAGATCAGTCCAAATTTCAGACCTTATCAACGTTAATTCAAAGGGCTTAGTGACACTATTTAGCAGTACAAGCTCTCTGTTATGAATCATCAGGTGGTTTTTTTAATAGCAAGTGATAATCATCTTTATTAATGCTCATATCAAAACCTTACGGTCAGTACACACAGGTTGCCAGTTGCTGATTGAAGAGGGGGACTCAAACCCTTTCAGCCCTGAACTCTTAAGAACAAAACCAAACCCTGACTTTTTAATAGTCCCTGGTGTTAGTGGCAGAAATATGTTAGCTGAGGCTTTCCACCATTCTCCTCTAGGACATCATATTCTTAGTTTCTTAGGACCTTAAAGATAATCTCATCAGTCATTTCTGATACCAGGGTGGCTTAACCTTTTTTAGATGATCCAGGAGCCCTTCAAGAATCTTACAGAAATGATGGGCCTCTTTCTGAGATATAAATCATACACTCAAATGCCCACATAAATATGCACATATTACTGCACAGTTATGTGCCGTCTGATGTTCATCTATGAACCCTGAATTAAAAACCTCATGAAGGGTCTCCCAGAATGAGGGCAAGGGAAGGTTGTGTATTGAATCAATCTGAGAGAAACATGTAGTAGTAGAACATGTTTGAATTAATATATCTGAATGAAAGTGCCCAAGAATTTAAAAAGCAAAGCAAAACTCAAATTCAGCCCTCATTGTGGTCTCTCTTATATAAGCTGTACTTTTTACGCCTTTTGCCCCCTTAAGTCTGCTTAATTTGATATATTCCAAAGCTTTCTTCCCCCTAAAACCTAACACATTGAACAGTGGGAGTGAGCATGTGAAAAATACTATCTGTGAATAATTTTTTTTTTTTTCAGTGACATTCTCTTATATTCTATCAGGGATTTATCTTTTTTGAACAATTAATTGGGCAGAATTGGAAAAATGTTGAGAAATCTCCATTTGTTTATTTACTTAAAAATGGTTTTTGTTTGTTTGTTTTAATCTGTGTATGAGAGGAAAATGAATGAAGGATTGGGTAGAGTGCGGCCAAAGGGCTTTGGAAAACCTGTGTCTGTGTGCAGGCCTGTTTTTTAACTAAATGATATTTGGACTCCACAGAACTATTACATTTAGATCATAGCCTCCTAGGTTTATTTATCACTGCCTTTCTTTCCTGTCCTGTCTGTGTTTGCATCACCTAAACGTGTGACTTATCTTTTCATTCCAGATATCATTCTCTCATTTCAGTTTTCCATAGGGAGGTTGTTTAGATACTCTTTTGCTAAATATTCTCACAATCCCATTGCAACCAGATCATGTGCCGGTAACCATTGCTTTAGTATAATTAAGTTTTATTGCAGCTGCTTATATACCCATTATTACCAATTAATAAATATGAGTTGATATATGAAGCCTAGGAAAACAGGAATCTTAATGTATTAGCAGTAATAATTGGGTTTCTTTTATAAGTATCATTTATATATTCATATAACAACAACAACAAAAAGTAAAAGGCCTTTTGATCTTAATCTGTTGAGTTTTATGATTGTCCCATTGGACAAGTCCCACATTGTATGCTAGATATGCCTGTAAAATGCCAACTACATATTTTTAAAGTATTTCAAGCTAGTATTTTTTCATCATTGACTTAACTGATAAATACCTATATGGAATACAAGGTTGACTTAGTCTCTAAAGATCATGTCTACACATGCTATGTTCTAATTTAAACCCAACAGGAGCAAGCCATGAATTTTCCTGACCAGGTCCTTACAGAAAAGGAAAACAGGAAAATTCCATAGTGTTTCTTTCTCACCTTGCATCTTAAAGAAGGAATGATGGTAACACTTTTAAAGCTGTCATTTGCTTGTAGTAATTCTCTTCCTTACATGACATTTATACGTCTATATGAGCAGTTCTAAAATGTGGACTGCAGACCCCAGAGGATCCTTGAGACCGTTCAGGGAGTCTTTAAGGTTAAAACTATTATTATAACAATACTAAGACACTATCTACCTTTTTAGGTGTATTGACATTTGTACTGATGTTGTAAAAACTGATTGACAAAACTGCTAGTACCTGAATATGAATCAAGACAAGAGCGTCAGATTGTTCTAGTAATCATTGTATTTTTCATTGCCACACACTTGCTGGGGTGTGGAGGGAACCATTTTCATTCAAGGATACCCTTGATGAAGCAGTAAAAATTATGCTATTAAGTCCTGACCCTTCAGTACACACACATTAAAAATATTCTGTGTGACAAAATGGGAAACAGTCATAATACACCTCTGCTTCATACTGAAGTACAATGATTATCTCGAGGAAGAGCCCCCGTGCAATATCAGTCGCAGGCTGTATCAGCTGCTTTTCATGAAAACTATTTTTATTGGAAGGAACATCCCGACAGATATAGTTATTTGGACTTGAGTACTGGGCAGATACTTTCTCAAAGATGAAATAATTGAGCTTCTTACTTCAAGAAAGAGAATTGGCAGTATGTGTAGCCAGTGGTTAAATTCAAGTTTTCAGGTAAAAATGAGGATTTGGGAAAACTGTGTCCATTACTGTGAACTTGTCAGCTTTCCAGTAATTAACCACTTTCCTGAGGAAATCATTGGTGATACTAACAAATGTGATTTTCCTATATTTATACTTCATATGTTTTTATATTAAATATGTTAATGTTTGGAAGAGCTATATTGCACTAACATTTTCTAAATCAGCAGTGAATGTTACGAAATAATACATGAGTAAAGAAAGGATCCATTCAAGTGCAAGACAGATCGGTGTATTCTAATGTAACAGTATAAAAAGTTTATTAGTATTCCATTTTCTATGTTGCAAGTTAAGTTTAAAAAACTACCACTTTGAGTTTTGATGTAGTATGAAAAGAATATTTATGATAATCCGAAAAGGTTGTTAAATAATTTTCCAACTATTTGTCTGCAACACTAGATTTTCTTCAGCTATTTCAACTAAAACAATACATCACTACAAATTGAATGCAAAAACAGATCTAAGAATTTGTAGCTATGTATTATTAAACCAGATGTTAATGAGATTGTCAAAAATACAATACGGTGCCACTTTTCTTAGTAATTTTTTAAAGTAATTTTTCATAAAAATTTATGCTGATATGTAACAGGTTTATTGTTACTTTGAATTAATAAACATTTTAAACATTTCTGTTTTAATTTGTAATGTGATAAATATTGACAGATATAGTCCACATAAATAAAAAAACCTTTGGGGTTCCCAATAATAAATTTTAAGGGTATAAGGGGATCCTAAGAGCAGAGAGCCTGTACCATTCTTGTTGGGTTTTTCTGTTGTATACACATTCATATTCTCTCTGTCTCTTTCTGTGTGAGAGCGAGAGAATAAAATGCAATCTGTTTATGCAGATTGTAGAAGCCTCCATATGGAGCTTTTCTAGCTGTTTCAGAAACTCGGGGAGGTAGATCTGTGATACATTCTAACAGATCAACACAATAGCATACTAAATCACAAAATGTTAGTTCTTGTCCTAGTTCATTTCAACCATCTAGTGGGGGGGGTGGGGGAGGTGTGGGTGTGTGGGGGGGTGTGTGTATTTAAATAAATGGAAATCAACATATTTGCATATAAAAACAACAGGGGAAAGGTATATATGGAAAAAAGATACTATAGCTCTCTCCATAAGGTAGGATTTGGGGATGATTTTTATTATGATTGTTACGAGTTGGTCACTGGAGTCAAAAAGTCTAGTTTTGAATCCTGGCCCCACCATAGGCAAAATCATTTTCACCCAAATATCAAGTTTCTACATCTCTATAATGGGAAGAATGATAAAACCAACCTCCTAAAGTTGTAGTGAGGTAATGGGATATAATTCACATTAAACACTTGACACAGTAACATTCAAGTAGTTTATATTATATTTTTGGAAATTTTTAGTAGTTAATGTATACGTATATGTTACATATAACATTTTAGAATGAATTAATTTTATTTTTTATTTTCTTAAAGATTTTATTTATTTATTTGACAGATAGAGAGCACAAGTAGGAGGAGCAGCAGAGGGAGAGGGAGAAGCAAGCTTCCCGCTGAGCAGGGAGCCCGATGCGGGGCTCGATCCTAGGATCCTGGGATCATGACCTGAGCCGAAGGCAGACGCTTAACCAACTGAGCCACCCAGGCGTCCCTAGAATGAATTAATTTTAACAAATAGTAAATATACAACACTTTTAAAGGTGCAGAAGTTTTTAATATGAAAATAACTCTTCCACTTCCCCGTTTCCAGGTCCTTTTACCTATTTAATTATATGTGTTATACTATGTTATGTTATACCTAAACCTGTGTAATTGTATGTATTATACATAATGTATGTACATATATATAAAATACATGTATACAAATATATACATACTACAGATACATTCTAAAAAGTACCATCACAGTGGGTACAGATGGTATATACTGTTCTGAACATTGGGTGTTTTTAATTCTGCCTACTGAGTGTTTTTTGATTATCATTCCTTATTAGTACACATAAAAGTACCTCATCCCTTTTAACAGGTGCATAGTAGTCTATGCTCCTATTATAGTATATTTACTTGTAACTGTTCGTATTGTTTTGTTTTTTATTTTTTGCTATTAAAGTAGTGTTTCATCGAATTCTATATTAGTATATAGCCAGAAAAATAAATAACATTTTTTTAAGCTTGGATTGGACTAGCGTGATAAGTAAATCTTGAGAGTCTCATTGAGCTCTCCAAAGGGCTATGTGTAGTTGAAATTTTGCCATTACTTGGATTTGCTTTTAATCAAGATGTTCAGTTAATTTAAAAATCAGATTTAATTTTAAAATCTCAATATTCATGGCAGTCATTAGATTTTATATTTGTCAGGAGGGAACTATAAAATTTTTAAGGGTGATTAAAGGATCTTTAAGGCTTCTCAGTTCTTTTTAAAAATATCTTACTGAAGGGATGCCTGGGTGGCTCAGTTGGTTAAGCGTCTGCCTTCAGCTCAGCTCATGATCCCAGGGTCCTGGGATCAGGCTCCCTGCTCAGTGGGGAGTCTGCTTCTCCCTCTACCCCTCCCCCTGCTTGTGCTCTTGTACCCTTTCTCTCAAAAATAAATAAATAAAATCTTAAAAAATCTTTTAAAATAACCTAACATACTAATAAAATTAAATTAAAAATAAAATAATTATTTTACTCTGTATTTCTTACTGTGTAATGAGATTAGTGCCGTTGATAGGTAAGCCATATTTTTTCCCAGAACGTGGTAAAACAGGTTTTTAAAGATACTGCTTCAGCATCCTTCTGTTCCCTGTTGTTTTCATCATTAAAATAGCCTTGGTAAAGTCTCTTTTTCTACAATGCAGGATTTACTATAGCGCATATCAAATGAGACAATAGTTGTATACCTACTTTGAAAACTTAAAAGTGCTCTTCAAATGCAAGATGTACTAATAATGTTTTGTTATATTCAGAAAGCTTTCACAGAAAGAGGCTTGAATTTTTCCACTCTGTATTTGAAATTGGTGCTCGTTCTTAAAAAGATTTACCCACTTGCAAAAAATAACATACTACAAAGAGTAAAGAAGAATGATTATATTCAGTGGAGATCCAGACCACAGTGGAAAATTACATAGCATGTAGTACAAAGTCTGTCCTGTTAGTTTTCATTCGTAGTCTTAGGCATCAATTGTATTTCACGGCTATCTTCATATTACATATACTTACCGGAGGGGGAGAAATAGATAAAATTCTTAAGTTTTCATTTGTTGACCACCTAATGTTTAAAAGTTTCATAGTTTGTAAAATGCTTAAGCTCAGTGTGAATGTTGGCATCATCAGGAAGGTTCTCTAAAAAACACAACTTAACCATTGTAGATAATCAGATCGGTCTTAGTTATCATTTCAACACCATTTACGAAAACTGGCAAAGTAGCTGTTCTAGGAATTGCATGACTGTGACTCTCTAGCTCTCAGAGATATCCACTGTTGACATAATTCTGAGAAATGTAACTTTGATTTACAGACAGTATCCTGGCTATGACTACTCGCAGCAAGGCCGATTTGTCCCTCCCGACATGATGCAGCCACAACAGCCGTACACCGGGCAGATTTTTCAGCCAACTCAGGCATACACTCCAACGACACCTCAGACATTCTATGGAAACAACTTTGAGGATGAGCCACCTTTATTAGAAGGTAGGATTAGTTGCAACAGTTCATAGTATTCTGTAGTGTCCACCTGGTCAGTGAAAATATATCTTAGTTTGGGGAACTTGTCCTTTCCTTTAAAAGAATAATGTTCTAGAAAAAAAGAGATATGAATCCATTGAGCCGTAGGGGACCAGATTTTTTAATAGATCTTTATAAAGTGAAATTATGTCAGCATGTGAGCCTTGACTTTGACTTCACATTACTGATTAAATTCTGTCAGTGGAAGAAATAAAAGGAAATAGCATGGTATTGTGATTATTTTACATGGAAGAAGCTGGCAAAACTAGTAACATCACTGAAAAGTATGGTGTTTTTCAAATTGTATTCTCATAAAAAAAAAATGTAAACCCATTAAGCAGTAGTACTGTGTATTTTTTTGAGGGGGTTGGATATAGTTTCAAAGTCTAATGAAAACTATGGATACTCTTCTCAGAAGAATGCACACCTGTGCATAGAAACAGTTTCATATACAATTTCATAGCATCTCCAGGTATTCCGAAGCCCCAGGTAAAGAACCCCTTACTGTTAATGAAGGCTGGTATTGAGGACTAACCAGAATGTCTCATAATGCTAGATTCTCTTTTTTTTTTTTTTTTTTAAGATTTTATTTATT